TTTTTTTTTTTTTTTTTTTTTTTTTTTTTTATAGTCAGTAATACAGAATAATCAAGTTCTCAAGTGTCTTTATGAATAAATGCGTTTTTATTTCCTACCTGTTTAGGGATTACTACAAACATTTAATTATTATTTAACAGTTCTCGATTATCTTCTTAATAGTTTAACTGACTATATAGATTTTTTCGATACCATGTATGTACCACTTTTAAATAGTAAATGACCCTTTATTGCTATATTTTAAAAGCAGTTGTATTAGTAAGAACTTTGTAAATAAATACTTAAAACCCGGCGTATTTTATGTTTTGTGTTTTAAACAACTCCTTTAGACAAATTTTCATAGGTCAGTATGAATGCCTGCATCCGCCTCTCTGCTCTATTGTGTATTTGCTTGCATATTTATTAGCTACTTCCTCCATTAATATTTTTGAGCATCATTATACTAGGCTATGTGTAGGATAGGATTTTTTAATCTGGAATCTGCTTTGCAGAATGGAGATAGTGGAGAACCCACTATGACAGTTATATAAAATTGTGTTTATGTACACATATGCATTTTTCTGGCAGAAATTACACTGCTTTGATTATTTTATTAGGAATAGATCTGTGATTCCCTCAAAGTGTGGGGTTTCAAGAGAGAGGAAATGACATAAGGCATGACATTGGAGATACATTGGATTTACACAGATGACTTATGAGATTAAAGTCTGATACAAAAGTCAATATACAAATATTTTGAATAGTATTGCTTGACACCAGCCACAAACGGATTGAAAATACTTTAAAAAAAAACACGTTACCTGTTAAAATAGCATAAAAATTATTGCAGTACTTAGTAATCTAATAAAAGATGTACAAGATTTTACAGAGGAGACTATAGAATTTTATTTATTCCTTAATGGAGATGTTTTATCATAGTCATGAATTGGATACTTCAGTAATGAAAATAGCAGGTTTTTCTAAATTGAACTATAGAGTCAAACAAAGCCGATCAAAATACTGACAGATTTTGTATGTGTATAACGTAAGTTATTCCTAAAATTGATAAGGAAATACAAAGGGTTAAGAATAACCAATCAGTTGAAGAAGTGCAAAGACTTGCTCTGTCAGAAGCAAGGTTAATTCTACGGCTGTAGAAGTCAAGACAGTGAGGTGTTAGAGCTCTTGGTGTATTGAACACAATAATGGATCACAATCGAAAACCCACAAACAGGTGAAAGTGACACTTAAAACAGTGGGAAAAGATAGTCTATTCAATAAATGGTTCTGAGAAAAATGGGTATCTTTAATAAAAAAAACCAGAAAGGAAACTAATCTCTTTACATTCTATACAAAAATGAGTTCCAAGGGCATTATAGACCTAAATCTGAAAGGTGAAACTAAAGATTTTACTAGATAATAGAGCATCTTAATTTGTTGGGTTGGAAATGTTGCTTAGATACGTTAACACGTTTAAGATCATTATAGTGGAAAAGACTGATTAATCTACATTAGGAACTACTAGTTTTGAAAAGACATCAATAAGAGTGGAAGTCACAGAATACATGTGTGTAATGTATGTAACTGACAAGGACCCATGTCCAGAATACAAGAAGACCTAAAAAGTCAGGATAATCAAACCCGTATTAAAAAAATGCATTTCACAAGTGAGAAAACCCAAATGGCTAATACGCTTGTTAAGTAATGTTCTCATACATAATACAAAAAGTACAAGTAAGATACCATTCATTGCACATGCACCATGTTTGCTTAGCACAGACGGGAAGCAGAAGAATCTCTTCCACTGCTTGGAGGAGTGTAAATTGTGCAACCATTTCCAAAACACTTGGGCATTAACCAGTGCGATTTAAGATACGCATACCTTAAAACTCAAAATTCCAATCTTACATATCCCAGAGAAATGTAGGCATGTGAGTACCAGGATCCATGTACAAGAATGGTCATAGCTGTATCATGCATAGTAGCCTGAAACTGAAAAATCAGAAATTTATGTTAACATTAGAATAGATTAATAGACTGTGTTTTGGTGCTGCACTGAATGAACTAATGAACTTGCAAGGGCCTGGATAATTATTGAACATAAGATATAAAAGAATAACCACCACATGATTTTGCTTAGATAAAATCTAAAAATTGGTAAAGTGATACTTTATATTATGTAAGGTTGCAGAGTTATCTGGCAAAAGTTTAAAGAAAAGCAAGAAAGTGACATCCCTAAAAACTAACGGTATAACCTCCATGGGTGAAAATGAGCGAGAGGCACATGGTTACTATGTGCTGCTGGCAGCATCTGTTACTAAAACTCTTCACTTCATAGTAATTTATTGTTTTTAGTTTTTCGAGAAGCCAATAACATTGACACACATCTCAAGGTTGAGGGGGAGGAAGAACAAATAAATGTTGGTATGATCTACATCTGGACATATATTATGAACCACTTTCTAAATCCAAGAAATGGGTTGAAGAGAGAACGTTTTCCATTTTTAGTTAGTTTAACACGCCCTTGATATCAAAACAAGGACAGAATAGGAAAGGAAAATGGTAGTCTAATCTCATTCAAGACTATCATGGAAATATTCTAAAATTGCTAATATTCTAAGCAAAGTGAGCTCACATTCTATAAAAAAGATTATGCATCATTACTAAGTTGAGTTTATCTCTGGAATGCAAAGTTGCTTTAATCATACAAAATCAATGTAATTCACGACAATAGATAAGTATTTGGCTGGTTGCATGATAGATATACAAAAATTAAAAGCTTTTTTCCAAGTTGGCAATATCCAGTTACCATTTGAAGTGATACATTAGAAATTTCCCTTACAATAGTGGCAAGTTTATAAAATCCCTTGGAGTAAATTTAAGGAGAAAGGTACAGGCCCTGTGCAAATACAAATCCTTATTAAAGGGCATGAACCTTGAATAACTATAGAGACTTAGTTTTCCTGGATGATAATACCTAATATTTAAAACAATTCTTCCCAAATTAATTTCTAAACTCACTGCATTTCCATTTAGTATCTTATTTTTTTCTTATATTTTGAGATATAATTGGCGTTTGTTTCCGGTATACAATATAATGGTCAAAATTTGTATATATAGGGTGCCCCCCCAAAATAGTCAATATTCAGATGGTCAATATTTGTATATATAGGGTGTCCCACACACTTTGAATAACTATAAAGGCAGTGCTTATTAAAATATATTTTCAAAATTGAGCTATCAGTTGTTAAAGTGTGTGTACACTTTTTTGGGACAGCCTGTATTGACAAGTGATCACAGTAAGTTTAGCTACCATCCATCGCCACATGTAGTTACAAAATTGTGTGTGTGTGTGTGTGTGTGTGATGACTTTTACCGTCTTCTCTTATTCTGGCTCCTTGTCTGCTGTATCCCTCCCTCGAGTGACCTCTAGTTTTGCTTAACTACTGTTCTCAGGCCTGGTTGGTTCCCCTCATACATGTTCCAGCAGCATCCTGTGTTTACCTTCATAGAATTTATATTCTGCTTTTTTTCTTTTTCGGTCTAATTTATCTGTTAAACTAGATTGTCAGTTTCTAGCACAGAACCTTATAGATAATAAGTGCTCAAAAAGTGCTGGAATTGTCCCAATATCTATGTCAACGCTGTAAATTAGGGCAAGTGAAGCAACTATGTCACTGAGAAAAGAACGACCACATTCCGTGTATGCCTAAATACCTTCGTGCTTTCAGATCCTCTCAGACGGTGTTAATCTAACATCCTGTGAGGTGCGCCTTCAGAAGGATGTAGATTTTAAGCATTCCACGATGGAGGGTTAGGTAAAGAGAGACAAAGGCGTCATCTCTGACGTGCTACAGTGGTCCAAAGAGTAGTCTTGTTACTGGAGACGACACTTTGCAGATCACCTGCCTGCATAGCAGACTCGTAAGGAAGGTGTTTCAGCCCCCAGGTGCCTCGCACCTACCTGCTGGAACTGGAGGAGCGGCCACATGAGCCTGGGTGAAACTGGGCTGTGGGCCAGGATAACTTGTAGAGTTTGAAATTGCGATGTAAGGCACTAATATTGCACCTCCCCGGGATTTGTGTCTCCCTGCCAAGAGGTGTGGCGTTGCTATAACCCTGGAAAGTGTGGCAGAGATTTGGGAAAATATTGTTGGCTGAGATTATTTTTCACTTCCAAATAAATGTTCTAGGCTGAATTCATTTGCAGAATAATAGATCCAGCTTGATTTGTTTGATTGGCTTTTGTGGTTTCAGCATTCATAGAATTAATTTGTGCCAAATTTATTATCACTTAATTTTTTAAATGAATAATTGTATAATTCTTGATTAGAAAAGTAATAAAAGCTTATGACTATTTCTAGTTTAGTGTTACTAATGGTTACCTCCTTAACTTTAAATAATACAAAGCACTGCTATTTCTTCAGCTGTCCACGTCAGGTATTATATTTATTTGCTGAACTGAGAAGCTGAAAAGCACAATTCCTCTGTTCCCCTTCCTCCAATTTAAAAGTTATTTTTGTTTTATTTTTTATTTTACTGAGACAGCATAACATAACTCTTGATGATGTTAGATAATGTTAAACATTTATTGAGTGCTTACTGTATGCCAGGAACTGTTCTAAACACTTATTTTTTCTCACATTGGACCTATGAAATAGATTATCCCCCTTTTTTCAGACATGGAAACCGAGGCACAGAGCAGTTACATAACTTGCTCCA